TTGAGGCAATCCTCCTGCTTCTGCCTCCAGGCAAGGGCTACCATACCCAGCTTGTGACAACAATTTTAGTACAGGATCTACAACTAGACAAGGGACTAAATGGGGGAAAACAAACCGTATGATTCAAAGTGAATAACCCCCTAGTTATGTGTAGTTACCCAATGACTACATTGCTCAGGTTTGTTTTGTTTTATTTTGAACTTTATTTTGGAAAGTCAAGGATCAATAAGAAAAGTGGATGAGAAGGGAACTAAATTTATCAAACAATTGTCTCACTTTCCTATCCAGGAACAGTCAGAGTTCCTATTTATTTACTTAGGTACTGGAAATTGCACATAGGGCCTTTGCACTGAGTTGCATTCTCAGCTCTTTTTATTTATTTTATTTTATATATTTATTTTGTCTTTTTGAGACAGGGTCTCTCTCTACCTTTCAAGCTAGGCTTTAGCTCACTTTGTAGCCCAGACTGGTCTTGAATTTGTAAGAACCCTCCTGCCTCAGCCTCCTGAGTGCTGGGATTATAGATGTGTGCCTCCCAGCCCTTTTAAAAAAACTCTTTTGAGACATGGTGTTGCCAAGTAATATGAGGCTGGATTTGAATTTGTGATGCTTCTGCCTCAGTAGCCCAGGGGGCTTGGATTATAGGCATGTGCTGCCACATTTGGCAATGTAGATTTTTAAAATAGATAACAGAGTGTGTTCTATTATTTCATAATATAGCATGATTTATACTTAAATCGCATGTTTGAAAGAGTATTGCTGCCGGCCGTGATGGTGCACATTTGTCATCCCAGGACTTGTTAGCCTGAGGCAGGAGGATCACGGTGAGTTTGAGGCCAGACTGAACTGCATATCCAGACCCTATCTCAAATTATAAAAACAAAAATAAAGAGTATTGCCATTAGTTGAGCATGGTGGCACACGCCTATAATTACAGCACTTGGGAGACTGAGGTAGGAGATTGTGTATGAGTTCAAGGTCAGCCTGGGCTACATAGTGAGTTCAATGACAGTTTAAATTACAAAGTAAGACCTGTCTCAAAAAAAGAAGCCGGAAATTATTATATTATTACTGTCATTATTATCATTATTATTTTGAACTTGTCTCACTGTGTAGTTCAGGTTGGCCTTGAACTATGTAGCCCAAATTGTCCTGGAACTCTCAGCCATTCTCTTGCCTCAGCCTCCCAAGTGCTGGGATTACAGGTGTGCGCCACCACACCCAGCATTCTGAGGCTGATTTTTTAATCAAAATCCTTTCTACAAAGAGAATGCTAGTTTCAGTGGTGAATATTATTAAACTTTTATTGAAGAAACAACACACAATCACACATAAACTCCGAAACGGAGGAAGAAAGGTTTCACAATTTGTTTTATGTGGCCAACATAACTACAAAACAGACAAATATATCACAAAAATAAATAAGTCATAGATTAATATTATTTGAGAACACTGATTTAAAAATTCTTTTTTTGCTGGCATGGTGGAACATGCCTCTAATTCTATCTATTTAGGAGGCTGACTCAGGAGCCCGGTTGGGCAAGTTAGCAAGAATTTGCCTCCAAATTAAAAGAACTCTGCTTCTTAAAGAGGCCATCTTTCTTCCAGTGAATGTGTTTGGCACTGGAAGAAAGATAGCCTCTTTAATAAATGATGCTGGGAAAACCGGCTCTACACATGCCAGATATAAACTGGGCACATATCTTTCACCATGCACTAAGCTAAAATGGATCAGAGATCTTAATATTAAAATTAAAATTAAATATTAATATTAAATTGAATTGGATCAGAGATTTTAATATTAAAACAGAAATATTAAATCTGCTGGAAGGTAGAGTAGGTAAAAACCCAGATTGCACAGGAACTATCACAAAGAATCAACAACTGGGATCTCACCCTACTAAAAAGCTTTTGCATAGCGAGAGAAGGCACCAACAGAGTGAAGAGACAACCCACCACATAGGAGAAAATGTTTGCCAGCTGCTCCTCAGATAAAGGATTACTATCAAGAACATGTAAAGAACTCAAAAGAAATCAATCCTCCCAGATTTAAAGGCCCAATCTAAAACTGGACATCTGAGATACATACCTCTTAAATGAAGAAATACAAACAGCAAACAAATATGTGAAAAAGTGTTCAACATCACTGGTCAATCGAGAGATACAAATTAAAACAACACTAAGATTCCATCTCACCCCAGAATGAATGACTATTACCAAGAAATCAACCAATAATAAAAGCTGGAGAGGCTTTGGGGAAAAATGTACCCTTCTCCGCTGTTGCTGGGAATGTAGACTGGTGCAACCACTATGGAAATCAGTGCGAAGATTCCTCAAAATCTAGGATTAGTAGTCCCATTCAACCAAGGTATTCCCCTTCTGGGTATGTTTCCAAAAGAATTAAAAACATCATACCACAGCAATATATGTGCATCCATGTTTACAGTATCACAATTTGTAATAGCTAGATCTTGGAAACAGTCTAAATGCCTATCGACTGACAAATGGATAAAAAAGATGTGATATTTTTTATATAATGGAGTACTGCCCAACCATAATGAAGGGTAAATTTGAGACTTTTATAGGTAAATGGATACAACTTGAGTGAAATAAATAAGATACATTTGTATAAACACTGTATTGTCTCAGTGTGAGAAGCTGAAACACTGTATATCTATCTATATATAAAAAAACTAATTAACTACCCTGGGGTGGTGGCTCATGCCTGTAATCCCAGCACTCGGGAGGCTGAGGCAGGAGGATCGTTGCAAGTTCAAGACCAGCCTGGGCTACAAAGTGAGCTCAAGGCCAGCCTGAATTGCATAGCGCGAGACCCTGTCTCAAAAAAGACAAAAACCAAACCAAAACAAAAACAAAAACAAAAAACTAATTAACATAGTTATACTACTAATTTCTCTGAGTTCCCTGAAGAGAAAGATTTGTGCTGGTATCATTCAGACAATTGAATGCAAATGTCTTGGGATCTGGGTGAATGATTTGGGGATGACAATGCATAATGTATGTACCATTGTTGCCCTGATTGAGGTGTTTTGAAATTTTTAGTTTTTTTTTCTTTTTTTCCCTTGAAATAAAATGGATTTGGAAAAAAAAAGAACTCAGAATGTAACTCAGTGGTAAAGGGTTTGCCTTCATGTGCAAAGGCCCTGATTTTGATCCCTAATGCCTGGGTGGAGTTGGGGGAGTTCATGGGATGCCTGCTCCTTCAGGGCTACTTAGGAGTAGTATGCGTCTGAGCTCAGACATCGCAGCACTTAGAGGTTACTGCAGCCACAGTCCTTAGAGGATAAGGTATTGCAAGCTGGTAGCCAACCACCGTGGCATCATCTAGATGTTGTTGGTTTTCAGACATGCAGAATGAAAGAGTATGGCTTTAGGAGGTTTCCAGTCATATTGCAGAAGAAGACCTGGGAAGCCAAGCAAAAATGTGTAACAGGGTTTTCCTTCCAGGGGCCCATAGCTGGTAGTGTATGAAGCTGAGAGTGAAGTTGAAGGTGCAGTAGAGAACCCAGGAAGCTGGAGTGTCTGCCACGGAGACCTGTAGCAGTAAAAGGAGCCAGCCGGAGACCACACAGGCGGCTACCAGCAAGGCCCTGAGAGCCGGACTGCCAGGTCCTTTGCAGTTTACCTCTTACCACAGCATGCCCCAGACACTGGATATGCAGACTCAGGATGTAATGTTGACCCTGCTAGGTTTAGGACGTACCCTGATATAATTTCTGTCTGTTCCCCTAATTCTCCCTTTGGAATGGGAATGTTTACCCTACGTCATTGTGTGTCAGAAGTGTATAACTTTCTTTTTGATTTTCACAGAGGATGCTGGCTAAGAGTTTGGCTCTTAGAGGAGACTTTGAACTTGTACTTTTCAGCAGTGCTGTAAACTGTTAAAGTTTTGGCCACTCTTAAAGATGGGCTAAATGCACGTTGCACAATGAGAGGGACATAAGGCTTTTTGGGAACGGGGGGAATATTTTGGTTCAGATCAAGTCCTCCAAAAGTGTTATGTTTGGAAGTGAGACTTGGTTGGAATGGCAGGTCACTGGGTCATGACTTGGAAGGGTGTATTATCTTTTCTAGGTCCTCTCTTCTCTGCTTTCTGACCACTACACTGTGAACAACTTTCTTCTGCCATTCCATTCTTTTTCTTCTACCACAAAAATAATCTTTATTTCTTTTAAAAAAAATTTTGCATTAGGCTGGGGATTTAGCTCAGCGGCATAAGCACCTGCCTTGTAAGCAGGCAGTCGTGAGTTCAATCTCTGGTACCGATAAAAAGGAAAAAGACAAAAAAAAATTGCATCTTAAATAAAACCAAGCAAAATAAAACAGAATAAAGCAATCAAAACAAAACAGTGTCAGTGATATAGGACTTCAAAACAAGATACTAGGGCTGGGGATTTAGCTCAGTGGCAAAAGCACCTGCTTGGCAAGTATGAGGTCATGAGTTTGATTCCTGGTACCACAAAACAAAACAAGATATTAGGAAATCAACAATGGCTATCATAATGCTTCTTGTTGTCCTCAAAATAGCTGCCCATACCATCAGACATAGGAAAATTAAACAAAACAGAATAGAACCAATAAAAACAAAACAATGAACAATACAGAACTTCAAAACAAGATAACAGTAAATTCAAAATAGCTACCATAATATATCTTCTTATACTTGAAATAGCTACCCATGCTATCAGATATAATAAAATCAAACAAGACAAAACAGAATAAAACCAAACCAAAGAATGAATGCCATGCCATTCTGCTATGTGTTGTCTGCATTAGAGCTGGCCAACCACAGATCAGACTTAATGAAACCTCCTTTAAATTGCAGGTATCAGGTATTTTGTCTTAGTGACAGGAGCTGGCCAACCACAGATCAGACTTACTGAAACCTCCTTTAAATTGCAGGTATCAGGTATTTTGTCTTAGTGACAGGAGCTGGCCAACCACAGATCAGACTTACTGAAACCTCCTTTAAATTGCAGGTATCAGGTATTTTGTCTTAGTGACAGAAGGTGACTAAGACACCCTCTGCCCCCGGCTTACAAGAGACAAATGGAGAAAGAAATGATACAATAATCAATACAAAGCTTTAAAGGTGTGTATATTAAGAACTCTGAAAGTGTGCGTGATCCTGCTTGAATTGATTTCACTATAGAGAATTTATTCCACTCAACAAATATTTGCTGTATATTATTTCTGTGTCAGGCACTGCTCCAAAACTCAGGGATTTAAAACAAGGCCTGGCAGTCCCACCACAGTCACCTCATTAAAATTGAGCTGCATCTGCTGCTCTCCGTGGTTCTGAACCCTCAAGATACAACTTAGAATTTGATTTTTAGCACCTCAAAAAATAATAATAGTTGGGTGTAGTGGTGCATGCCTGTAATCTGAGGACTTGAGAGGATGAGGTAGGAAGATCACTATGAATTTAAGGTTAGCCTGAACTCCTTCTAAAAATGTTTTTAGATTTACTTATTTATTTATTTATTTTGAGACAGAGACTCACCTATGCAGTTCAGGCTAACCTGGAATTCACAGAGCTGGTCTCAAACTTGTGATCCTCCTGCCTCAGCCTTTCAAGTGCTGGGATTACAGACATGTGCCACCACACCCAGTATTTGGTTTTTGTTTCTGTTTTATTTTGGATACAGGTTCTTACTTTGTAGTTCAGGTTAGCATTGATTTCACTATATAGCCCAAACTAGCCTTGAACTCTTGGTAATCCTCCTGCTTCAACCATTCAAGTTCTGGGATTGCAGGTGGGCACCACTATGCCCAACTCACTTCCTTAATGGTTTTTTGAAGTATAGTTGTGTGTGTGTGTGTGTGTGTGTGTGTGTGTGTGTGTGTGTGTCTGATGCTTTGAGGCAAGGTCCTGCTATTTAGCATAGGCCCCAGATTGGCCTTAAACTCATAGTAATCTTCTTGCTCTGGGAAGACAGTTTTTTAAAATTTTATGATATCCAGTTTTTCTTTTGTTTCTTATGCTTTTGATACCATCTAAGAAACTATTGCCTAATCCCAGGTCATGGAAGATTTCTATCTGTGTTTTCTTATAAATATATTACAGTTTTAGCTCTTACATTCAGATATTTTATTAATTTTAAGGTAATTTTTGGTAAATGGTATTAAATGCCATTCTTCATTTTGTAAATGGTATAAAACACCAAATTTGTTTGTATGTAGATATCTAATCTACATACAAGCAGCACTTGTTAAGTGGCTGTTTTTTTCTCATTTAATCATTTTCTAATCCTTTTAAAACTTACCCTGGCTGCGCATGTTGGCACACACATGTAATCTCAGCATTTGGGAAACTGAGGCAGTTTTGCTATGAATGAGGCCAGCCTATAGTGAGACCCTGTCTCAAAAACAACAAAACAAAATAATTGCTCTTAACTGTGAAGGTTCATTTTTTGGTTTTCAATTCTATTCCATTGATCTGTACATCTATCCTTACGTCACTACCACACTGCCTCTGTAACTACAGCTCAAAGTCTTTTTCTCTTTTATTTTGTTTTATTTATTTATTTTTTTGAGACAGGGTCTCACTACCTAGTACAGGCTGGCCTTCAACTCACTTTGTAGCACAGCGTGGCCTCAGACTCCCAGCAATCTTCCTGCTTCAACCTCCTGAGCGCTGCAACTACAGGCATATAATACCACGCCCAGCCTTTAGTTTAAAGCCTTATTGAAATATCCATGCAGATATTTGCCTCGCAGGGGAGACACCATGATCACGATGGTGGTTTTCCCACAGCGAGGCTCATCCATTGCACTCCGGATGTGCTGACCCCTGTGATTTCCTCAAATGCAGAAAACTTGACTGCATAATTTGTGGTGGTGGTGGGACTGGGTTTGCATTTTACCCTGGCAACCTAAAGGTCAGAAGTCACACTTGCCCTCGGTGTGGTGGTGTACACCTGTGATCCTAGCATTCAGGAGGCTGAAGCAGGAGGATTGCTTCAAGTTCAAGGCCAGCCTGGGCTACAAAGTGAGTTCAAGGCCAGCCTGAACTGTATAGTGAAATCCTGCTTCAAAAAGACAAAACAAACAAACAAACAAACAAACAAAAAATCCACAAAAAACAAAAATAAAACAATCCAAGCAATATTTACAAAATTGAGGGTGAGGGGTAGGGGTTCACTTTCGTGATAGAGTGCTTACTTAAGACCTTGATCTCCATCAGTGCTTAAAAAAAAGAAAAAAGAAAAAGGTTAGTGTCTTAATGACTTTTCTTGTTGCAGAGACAGAATACCCAAAACCCATGAATTAAGGGAGGAAAGGCTTAGTTAGCTCACAATTTGTAGAGGTTTCAGTCCATAATCAGTAGGTTCTGAGGCAGGGCAGTGTGAGAGAGTGGTATCACAGAGGAGAAACAGTTCACAGTGGGCGGAAGGCAGCAAAGCAAGCAAAGGGCCTTAACAGCATCTGCTGCCTCTTTTACCTTATCCAAACTACCTAGGGCAGGTAGCATTCACACCCTTAATCTTAGTACCCTTGAGCCTATGGTATTGCACTTTGAGTTAATCCCAGCCACCTCTGAAAAAGCCCCACCTATAACTGCATGGGACTGTGGGGGTACATCTAGACACAGGCTATAACCAGTGTATATGTGTGAGAATTTAAACACAGAGCGTCCTGTGTGCCAAGTATGTGCTTTCCACACATCTATACCATAGGTCCTGAAAAACTTATTTACTTAATTAATTAATAGTCTTGAGGCTCAAGCCTTGGGCCTTGTATATGCTAGGCCAGTTGTGGTGAACCTAGCATGTGTGCCACAGTGGGCTGTTTGTATCATTGAAAGCTGTTGTGTTAGCCCATGCTCTAACAGAAAGTTACACCCCCAATTCATAAAATTATGTTTAGCTGGTATGGTAACATATTCCAGTAATCCAACACTTAGCTGGCTGAGGCAGAAGGATGGCCTGAATTTGAGGCCATTCTTGACTACATAGTGAGTTCAAGACCAGTCTGAACAATATGTCTCAAAAAACAAAACACTATCTCCCCAGTTATACATTTAAACCTTCCCTTTTCTAGTATTTTAAAGCAGAATACTATATTTGAGCTTAATAAACCTTAAACCTACATATATTTTCAGGGCATCACCTAACCTCCAACAACCCTCTTGAAGAGGTTAGGTATCTTTTATGTGACAACTATGTACTTGGGAATTAGAAGAGATTGTGTTTTGTGTTTTGTTTTAAACCAGTACTCAACAGCACTACCTGCTGGTGAAATGTAATACTAGTAGAAAGAAAGATTTTCACATTTCGATGAATACAGGAAACTTATTGGTAACTTCCCAAGATTAAAGAATGCAAGATTCAGGGAATGTAAACACCTCATCAACTGAGAGGTATTTGGCTAAAACATTACCTACTATTGCAAACTAAAGTTGCTCTAGGTGCTTTAAAATAAGAACCCTTCCATGGGAAAGTCACTTGTCCTACTCTCAAGCCACTGGAGTTAAACTACATCAGTTCTGTTTCTGGGCTTCAGCACTTAACCAACTCTTCTTTCTTTCTTTCTTTCTTTTTTTTTTTTTTTTTTTTTTTTTAGGGTACCAGGAATTGAACTGAGGACCACATGCTTTCCAGGCAGACTCTATGCCACTGAACTAAATCCCCAGCCCCTAGTACTTACCTTCTTGGGGGAAAGTTAGTTAGCTCCTTTTGTAGTTTCTACCTCTGAAAACTGCTGACACATGTTTCACAGGGTTTTGAGAGAAGCAAAAGTAGTGGAGAATATGGATAAAGTACTGTGCTTGATACTTGAACATGGTGATCAACAATAGTGATGTTGGTTTTATTTATTTTTTTTTTAAACAGGGTCTTGCTATGTTGTTCATTCTGGTCTTGGACTCTCTTATGTAGCCTAGGCTGGCCTTGAACTCATGGCAATCTTCCTACCTCAGCCTTCTGAGTGCTGGGATTACAGGTGTGTGCCCACCATGCCCAGCAGACAGTGCCATTTGTTTGTCTGTGGTACTGGGATTTACACCCAGACCTTTGCACTGAACCACAGGTCCAGGATTTCTTTGTATATTGAGACATGGCCTCCATAAATTGTTAAATTTCCCTGGCTGTTTGAATTTGTAATCCTCCTTCATCAGTCTCCCAGGATGCTGGGATTAAAGATGAATGCTGACCAGGAAGCAGCAGCAACCTCCTGTGTACACTGAGTGGCTGAGTCTGGAGAGAAGTTTTCACCACCCCACCCCAACCAGTTGATTCAGAGGAATGCAAGATTAGAAGATAGCAAATGAAGTAAAGGAAAAACTTAATGCTTGTAGGACTGACTTTGCAGACCTAAAGCCGGTAGACTGAGCATCTATTTAGAGGACAACAATATGCAAAATAGTATCTATTATGGAATTCCTACTGTCTTGTTTTTGCAAATATCATCTTTATTGTTTAGTTTTGTTTCATTTTATTGTTTTGTTTTATTCCCTTTAAAAAAATAAAGGTGTGTGCACCATGACTGGATAGTGATGAAATTATTTTATTCATAATCAGAGGAACTGATATTGAATCTAAATTTCTCTGACTTCAGTGTCTTTTTTATTTTTGAGGGAAGTGCCAGGGACTGAGCCCAGGGCCTCATACATACTAAGCAAGCTCTCTAGCACTGAACAACCCTGCCAGGCCAGTGCCAATTTCTTTATTTATTGTTTTAAAATCCATTTTATTTAATCATAAAAAGAAAAGAAGAAGAAAGAGGAGCAGGAGGAGGGGGAGGAAGGTAAGAAGAAGGGGAGGAAGAAGAGGAAGGAGAAGAAATCACAAAATTTTAAAGCACTTCAATCAGGGGGCAACAATGGTACATACATTGCTCATTGTTATCCCCAAATCATTTACCCAGAGCACAAGACTTCTACCTTCAATTGTCTGAACAATATCAGCACTAATCTTTCTCTTCAGTGAATTCAGAGAAACCAGTAGTATAATTATCTTAACTATTTTTATATGCACATACATATATGTACAAATATACGCATACATATGTTTTTTACTTTCAGCTTGTGTCAGTATTCTTTAAAAGTGACCATATCAGTTGTCAGGTGAAACTGACTATCCCATACATACAAAATAAAACAATTATAAATATAAACCCAAGCCAGGCAGGGTATACCCTTTAATCCTAGCACCCTGGGACGCTGCAGAGGCAGGCAGAAAGATTACCAGTTCAAGTATAGCCTGGGCAACTTAGCAGTTTAATGAGCCCCTAGCTTATTTTTTAAAAAAAAGGTTGGTGGGGGGACCTGGGGAAGTAGCTCAGTGCAAAGGCCCTGAGTTCAATCTCCACAGCCATTAATAAATAAATAAATAAATACTAATAGCATAACATAGATTTTATGGAATTTTTGAAGGAAGCTGGGTCTCATCTTCAGAAGAGGGAGAAGAGGCCCTTAGTTGCTCGTGTTACTGTCATTACAGTCCTGTGCTGCACAGGGGCTTTTTCATCAATGACAGACCATGTACGTAGTGGTGGTCCTATCCGATTAGAGTGGAGCTGTAAAATTACTACTGCCAGTTACATCGTAGCCATCACTATGTCACAGTACAGTGCCTATCTCACATGTTTGTGAGGCTACTGAGAAACCCATTATGCTGCTAGTTATGTAAAAGTATAACATATTCGATTTTTATGTACAGAACATAATATATGATAGTTAATGGGTTCTGCCAACCTAGGGCTTAGCTATCACTAATGTGGCATCCATTCAACTTGGCACCAGATCCCCCCAAAACTGCAGCATATCTCTCCAAACATAACTTCTAGGTTCTTCTACTTGCAGAAATAACCCTCTCACTCCCTTTTCACATGTGTGCCAAGCCCTCTCCAACCCTAAGACTCCAAAAATCACTCACATGTTCCACTCCCAACCCAACTCCAGAAAAGCTGTTCCCCAGCTCCCTGTTTTTTGAGGGTCCTTACAGTCTCCAGCAGCCCTCCTGCACCCACAATAAAGGCTTTTATCTCTCAACTGTGCCCAAAAAAACCCCCTAATAATAATGATAGTAACCACACTATTGGCTTATGCATTTACCAGAGTATATACACATCTATGCTTTTTTTTTTTTTCTTTTTGCTTTTTGAGATGGGGTCTCAGGCTCATCTTGAACTCACTATGTTGCTCAGGCTGGCCCTGAAATCATTACAAGCCTCCTAGGCCTCAGCCTCCTGAGCTTGCAGGTATGCGCCTCCATGCCTGGAGAGAATATGTATAACTTTTGAGATGAGAGTCTTACTCTGTTTCTCAGGCAGGACTCAAATTCCTAGGCTCAAATAATCCTCCCATCTCAGCTTCCCCAGTAGCTGGTCCTGTTGGTATGTGTCAATGCATTCAGTGTATTCTCGTTTATATTGTTATTTTATAGTGTACTCCTACTCATACAAAACCAAGTTTATTGTCAAGCAGAGTGCCATGTTATGCTGGGTCTTTACCCAATCTTTTAACTGCATCATTATTCTGTTGTTCATGTAATCTGTTGCTTTGTTCAAGGTCCTAGGACAGTGGCCTCTAACACATTAAGGGAAGATCAAAAACCATGGTGAATTTTCAAATTTAAAAAACAGTAAAAGACACATTGCCAAAAACTACGGACTTGCCAGGCATAGTGGTGCACACCTGTAATCCAAGCACTCAGAAGCTCAGGCAGGAGGATGCTGTGAGTTTGAGGCCAGCATGGGCTATGAAGTGAGTTCAAGATCAGCTTGAATTGCAGAGTGAGATCCTTTCTCAAAAAGACTGAAAAAAAAAAAAAAAAAAACCAACCAAACAAAAAACAACTGCAGAACAGTGTGTTTGAAGGGGGAGCATTTGAGCATTTTGAGGGAGCACTAATAGTAATGTAACATTTCCTTTTATCCCAGCACTTTGGAGGCTAAGGCAGGAGGATTCCTGCAAGTTTGAGGCCAGTGTGCACTACATAGTGAGTTCAAGGCCAGCCTGGACGACATAGCAAGACCCTGTCCCAAACAAACAAACAAACAAAATTAATATTTAAACATTAGGCTGGGGATTTAGCTCAGCTAAATAAGCGCCTGACTGGCAAGCGCAAGGTCATGAGTTCCCCAGTACCAAAAAAAAAATTAGACATTCATTGTATTTTTTGATCCCACTTCACTGATCAATCCTTTAGGATAATTTTTGTCAAAATAAAGACATTACTGTGTGTCCTTATCCACCTTATTCAATGGACCTAGCCCCATGTGATTTCTGGCTCTTGCCCCAAATCAAATGACCAGTAACGGGAAACGCTTTTACTTGATTCACAACATGGAGGCAGCCATAACAGTGCAATTACAGAACTTACAACCGCTTTGGAAAATGGCAAGAATGATAGGATAGCTGTGTTCCAAGCAAGGAAAATATCTCGAGAGGGACTAATGGCAGTATGTCTTGGTATACCAGGAAGAATTGATTAAAACAATTTTGTCACCTTGAGTAAAGTAGTACAATCAGCAATACCAATAGCATCAAACACAGCCTAGAAAATTATAATCTATGGTAGCTATTAATTTGCCACCTTTAACCCCATGAACTATATTTGTGGTTATATAACAAAATGTAAAACAAATCTGAAAATTGTACATAGTAAATAAACCCTCATATGGAGATTTTTACTCTCAAGGGAGAAAACAAGAGTTTTCGGGGAAAATAGAGAAATAGAAGAGGAGGAACGGATTAGAAGCAAGGTTGCAGGACAAAGGGAGATTATGCAAACTTTGGAAAACTGAAGATGACAGGAGGGAAAGAGAGTAGGAAGAAATAAAAACAAGAACAGGACAGAACAACCACCTCCAAACTGGACACTGTGTTCACACTCATCTAAAAATGAGAATGATGAAGAAAAAACAAAACACAAAAACTAGGAGAGAAAAAAAATGTGTACTTCAAGGCGTGTTCCTGCTGTCACTGGTAGATAACATGGGCAGGCAGAGTCAGACTCAAGGTGATTAATCTCAGCAGGTGAGCTGAGCTTTCCAGTGGAGCAGTGCATAATCCCAGCAAGCCTGTACCTTCAGTTCCACTGCAGTTCAGGCTGGTTTCTGGCTGGGGCTGGAACCCTCTGGCTGGCTGGAATTTATTCAGCCTGTAACACTCCATGTGCCTCCTGCTGGCTTGAACTCAGCTCCTTGACTTCTTGCTGACTTGAACTTGGCAGCCTCACCCTGACCCTGGGAACTACTGGATGGAGCCAGCCCGTGGATGCTCTGAGTTCCGAGTTCAGTCATCCTCTCTCCAAGATGGTTATGGGTCAATCACCCTCTCCCTGGCGATATCTGAACCCAAATAATTCACTATCCATTGAAGTGTACTGTGTCTACTGCTCCATTCTACTGGTGCATTTCTGCACAGAGGTCACTGGGGTTGCTTGCAGTCAGGTGTCTGTAGGTTTAAGCTGCTCATCCCATACAGTGAGTCTAGGCTCCTTGTTTTCTTTTATTCTTTTTTTTTTTTTAAGGCAAAATTTCTCTGTATGGTTCAGGCTGGCCTTGAACTCACTTTGTAGCCCAGGCTGGCCTCAAACTCATTGGGATCCTCTTGCCTCAGCCTCCCAAGTGCTGAGATTACATGCCTGTGCCACTGTGCCTGGCTTTCTTGTGTTTTGTTTTTCCTTGATTGCTTGTTCTTATTTTTGTATGCATCTGAACACAGTTTGCATGATCTTCCTCTGTCTTCCAGCCTTGCTTCTGGTGCTTCAGGTGAAAATGCCACCTGCCACCTCCTTCTTCCCTGATGTCTCTCTCTTTGTTCTTCTTGTGGGCTTCCTTTCTCACTTCAGATCCTCACTGAGTCCCCACAATTCACTTCTCTCCTTCTTGTCTCCCTCACATTGCTATATTCCAGGGTCTAGATGCCAAATCTTCGAGATGCTCTTTCTCTGCTGCTCACCAGCCCATCATTTTCCCAGAAGTTGGCAATGTGTCTTTTATTGTTATAAATCTAAAAAAATTTACACAATCACACAGATCTATCAGTCTGTATTCTATCATGCAATCTAGGTATACAAAAGGTTTTATCATCTAAGGGTTATATAAGTATACTCTGTTATCTTCATATAATAATGCAATTGCCCAATGACAGTTATCAAAAGGTATTCATGTCATGAGGTGACACATGACTATATTTTGTCCAGCAAGTGTCCTCTCTTAGTATAGACTCTGTCCTCTTGCCCTATGGGTAGGCACATGACAAAGCTTGGACGATAACAGCACTTCACATACACTGACACAGCAAACTGCCCAGAAGATATGCAGTATAAGCAGGGTGGGAGTCCAGGGGGTCAGAGATTGAGTACAGTGTGATAAGCTACATCTCATGCTATGTTTTAGTGCCTCAATCCTTGTAATAGGTGATAGAGACTCTGATATCTCATATTCATTCTTTTGTTTTTTTTGTTTTTTTTTTGAGACAGAGTCTCACTATGTAGTTCAGGCTTACCTTGAACTCAGTATGTAGTTGAGCTAGG